TGCCTTCGCAGACTGCACAATACTGGAAGCCCTTTTTCCCTGACCAGGTGTGATACCCCCGTGTTTGAGCCAGCTCCCATGCTTTCAGGCAAGCCGTTAAAGTAGGTAACCAAGGTAATCCATCATGTCAAGCCTAGAGGCGCACAAGAATCTGGTGACCTACTATAGTGGCTTGCCCGCCTGGAAACACCGGGTCCCATGTAGTTGGCCATGCGAACTGAAGCCTTTCGGCGGCAAAGGGATGTCCATGCTGGCAGTTCCGACCACTGCATGACAATCCCCTCGAACTGCCAGATTTTGCCTACCTTTCTATTTGTTCCTTTTGGATTTCCATGATCTTCTTTTGCCACCAGGTGAGTAGCCTGGCTGCAAGAGCAAGTCGGCGCCCTTTTCTGAGGGGACCCGCCACGGGGCATTACGTAAGGTGTCGTTATGTAAAGGACAGTGTTCGTGATTGTTTCTAGTTATGAGGACAGCGGGCGGGACACCAAGCTGCACACCAGCCAGATGTTCCAAAATTGTTTTCCCCCCCCCCCTTCCTTTTTTTTGCGAATGGTGTCCATTCTCTCATGTTGGAATCAGGTTACCTACCAGCTAGTTTATTTTTAGTCCTTTCAGGGAGGTTCCATTGGTTACCTACAAGACCACAAAATGGAATCATGCAAGTCTTGAGCTGTCAACGATGAAAAGTCATTGCGAGTCATGGAAGTAGCATGCGACCCAAACATGCAGATATTAAGGCATACATATACTTGGAAGATGTTTGGTGGACACAAATCCCCAAGTATGTTCACCAAAGGGTCCTCCAATTATGGGTCAGGTAGGTAACCGGTCATGTCCTTTTCAGGTTTTCCAGGGGGCGTTCTTGACAATCGCCTACCAGGTAAAGGAACCAAAGGGATATACGCCGAGTTTTGGGCCAGAACGACCACCGATGGAGTCCAAGCCGTCGGGTCGCCGGTCGGATTTGGAGGGCGCGCATTGCAAAGCTGAACCAGCAGGCCAGACCGGTTGGAAAGGATTTGGGCAAGTTGTAACGTCGGCTTCTTATTTGGGGGGGGTTTGGCGACGCCATCCTTTCATGGGGATCTATGTTTGATTAGTTTGCCTGGACTTTTTCGCGAGCCCAGCCATGGTGAAGGTCCTTTGAAAAGGTTCAAACTGATCTCCAGTTTGGGAATTGTAGTAATCTGGCCAGACCAGACAGAAACATGAAAAGATGAAGAACAACATAGATAAACTAGATAAATACATGAATAAATTCTGAATAAATGATTAAATCAATACATAGATAAACTAACAAATGAATACATGACTAAACAAATAAGTAAACAAAATAAATAAATAGATAAATACATACGCATATATCTGCATCAGCGTGAACGTACATGGCACCATTCCCTGTATGCGGGCAAGTAAAGAGGATGATTAAACAAGCATGGCGTTGGCGAGGGTGAGCGGAATTGTGCTAGAGAGGAATCATGGGTTGCGAGAAAGGAATCCATGAGAAGGGATCAATCAATTCATTGCCCCCCCCCCCAAAGGAAGCATAAAGTTATAAAGCATGTGCAGAGGTTCCTGGAAGACAATTTTCCTTTTCAAGGGGACGCCTGCGAGGCTGCAACACTTTACTTTTAGTGAAACCTCATTTTATGGATCCGCCAGCTGGGGTGATGATCAGGGGGGTGCATCGCATCCTTTGAAGGGGATTACAAAGGCGCACCGTTTTCTGGCTCGAAGCGCCTTGAGGTTCTAGTGCATCCATGAAGTTTGACACGACGAAGAGGGAACCAGGGCCCAGTGCTGCCGTGCTGCAGACTTTGGAACAGAAGTATGTTTGGAAGATCAATTAATCAAGTTGAGTCGGGTTTCCGACCATGAAGCTTGACAGTGAAGAGAGGCTTGGCATTTCTCCAGATCACGATCAGGAGACATCACTACTCTGCTTGTAAGGGAATGCACATCTCGTTCTCCAGCGGGGATGGGATTATTTTTCTGACAGCGAAGCAATGTGCTAAAGTGCTCTCTGGGGATGCTCCAAGGTATCTTGGTGTCGCTGCGCAGGCAGAGGCCGTTTAGTTTGATGCCAGCGGCCACACAATCCTGCTAAGAACCCGTGAGAAGCTTCTTCTGTAGTGGGCTTGGGGGCTTCTTTTTTTGTGGTTCCCTAAAGGGTGCTCCCTCCAGTGACCCAAAAGCTCCTCCGATCGTTTTTTCCGCTGGAAGAGCATCCGGCGATGGCTTTCGGCAGGCGGTGACTCGGCAGCAGGCGCTGCGCTATGCCGCCTCCTTGCCCTCTGTGGGCGTCGGCGGCTGAGATTCACGGGCCGGGGAAAGACCAAGAGTCTCCCTAGCAACAGGTGTCCTTTTTGATTGATTTGGTCGTCACATAGAGGGCCCTGGTTTACCTGGTGGTTCAATCACCTACCAGGTCCATCTATTTTCCCAAAAAGGACACCTATGCAACGATCCAACCAGCCAGCAGTTGGCATGCAGCCAAGGAGCCAGGGGTATCCAAATGTGCCTTTAAAGAGGGAGCCTTTGGGAGCTACCACGAGTTCTGTAAGGACATGGTAGCCGATATTTACAAGATCATTTTATAGTCAGAGAAAAAACATGGGTCGCACTCGCCGAAATTCCAACAGGAAATAGGGTTTCTAACCAAATCCCAGGCACCATGCACATTGACCATACCTCTCATATCTTCAGGGCAAATATGGCAGCAGCTTTCCTTGCTTGATAATCCTGGTCTGGATAGATTCGAGGCCCTCAAATGGATATGTTGAAGACAAAGCAAGTCAAATTGGGCAACTGAGGGGTTGTAACCCCAGCCAAGTTAGTTAGCCTCATCCCCTTGGTTTCCTTCTACAGCCATCAAAAACGGGGTACCCTCAAACGACGACAGACCCATTTGACTCGAACTCCGAGGGTCTGGCGGATGCCTTTGCAGCCCGACTCACCTCGCGCCCGGATCTGGACGGCCTTACGGACCGGGCTGTGTGTGCGGGCCAGCCGATCCAATTCCTAGACAAGCCCACATGGGTATGGTTTTCAAATTTCAACCAGGAATTGGACAGCAGGTGTTGGTCCATGTTTAAAGGTAACAGGGTTCCATCTGGGGGAAAATTATTTTTGACCCACAGCCACATCCGCTAACACGGAACTTGCCTGAGGGGTCCTTGGAAGACTATTTTCCTTTTCAAGAGGCCCTTTGGTGGGTTCCATGTGAGTGGACAGGAGGGTAAGGGAAACCACGAGGAAACCGATCCAATTCCTTGACAAACCCACATATCCCCTCCGGCAAGAGGAAGCGCAGCGAAAAGTGGCCACAAAGGTGATGATTAAACAGGGCTCCTCAAAAGATACGTTTTGCCCATTTGAAGCATGGCTTTTGCCACCAAAATAAAGGTGCAACCACAATTTACAAGGCAATGCTCAGGTGTATAGTGTAAGGATCCCTGTTAAACCAAGGTGATGTTCCTGGTGTCTTAGGGGCGAAAGTTGACACGTGCGGGGCCCAGGCTCCCGGCCAGTCTATGGTCCATATGGGTATGGGTCAAAATTAACCCACCAGGGGACCGCAGGTTTCAGTCCATGTTTCCATTTACCAGGGATCCATTTACCTTTTTTGACCCACACCCATAAGTGCGTGTCACCTTTTTGGCGGTTTCCATTGGGAAGCCAATGGAAACCAAGAGGAACACTTCCATCGCGCGGCAGGCTTTTTGGTTTGACCATGTCGAATATGCCAAGTCCTGCCTCTTGACGAGTCAAGATCAAGCAGTTGATCTCGAATGCTATGTGCTATGGACAGTTGAACAGCCACCTTTAACCTCCCATATTTTGGTTTCACATGCGAGTTTGTCTCAAAATATGGATTCCCGCCAAAGAAAAAGCAACAGCAACTTGTGGCTTCCCTCTAATTTCTCTTTACGTACCCCCAAACGTTGTACCCTCACAAAAACAACACAACATGTGTGTTTTCCGACTCACCATCAAAAAGTTAAACACGGGGGGCCAAAGGACAACAGCAGCCAGGTGATATGCCCCCTAAGCCACCCGAACCGCCCATGGGTTGTATATCCCCTTCCTGTTTTCAGGATGGAAGGTTTCGCTTCACAAAGTACTCCTTGATCCTTCTGCCGCATGATCGTGGTTTCCCTCGTGTTGGCCCGTTATAGATCGCGGATTAGGATCAGGGATTGTCCATGACAATTGCAGAAAGCTTGACGCTCCATCGCGGCTTTTGGCAGGTTCGCTGGGAAATCGTTGGTCGCGGTTCGCTTTGTGTTGACCATCTGTGCTTTCCAGATTCGGCCTCGAGGCCAAACCCTTCCGCAGATCCCTTGGTTCCAATGGACACCAGCTTGGAAGCTGCGCTGGCGCCGCAAGCTGCTGGCTCCGAGTGGATGGCAGGTTTTGAGGTACCCCAAAAAGGGGACGCCGCCCAAAGCGCTGTAGGCCTTGGCTTTGCGGGAAGCCTATCAATGGTCCCCCCTATTGGAACACCAGAAGATATCATTGACGAACACGAAGACGAATAGCAAGTCAGAGAAGTCGGATGCAGGAACCTGCAAAACCAACAATCGGCACGCGCTTCCGGCAGGCCTTTTCTCAACGCAAAGCGCCTTCGTACGTTCAGCAGCTTGGACTCACCCAGAGCTCTCTTGAGGACTGCCCTCCTGATTTTTCAGAGTCAACATCCGCGTGGTAGTTTTGATGTGCGGATGGGTGGCAGGTTCCGTGAGTCCTAATAATCCAAGCGCCAAACATGAGAATTCCATGCATACATCTCTCCATGCACATTTGTACATACACGCACGCACACACACACACACAGTATGTAGATGTATACATAATACAATGATATCTACATGTAGAACATAGACGGCTCCATATCCAACGCCAGCTTCACCTTCGAACACGTGTAGTTTCCCCAAACCGGCCGCTTGGAGCGCCGACGATTGCTTCCGTCGCTCGCTTCGCGCTTGATTCGCGCCATGTGGAAGATCCAGCCGACGCAGATCGAGCGGCGGCCGAGGGATGTCACGTGCTGCGTCATTTTCTTGGTGGCCGTGGCCTCCTTCGCAGGCCGGAAGTGAGCGAGAGGGTTCTGAGGACCGGACCCAGCGGGGTCAACATGGGATGTGTAGGAAAATACCACGGAGATGGCTTCGCTGGTCCAGCTGGCGTCTGGGTTTAGGTTTGGAGGTTACGTACTTACGGGTTTAACATAAGGAAAACATACTGCCTTACCTCCGAAACCGTTTTGCCGGACAAGGCACTCAAGCGGGACTCGATGGAGACTCTGGGACCCACCCTGCTCCAATTTTCGCCCAGAAAGCTGGTTGGTGTCCAATGAAATGACAAGGGGGTAAACACCATGTTGAGAAACAAAAACAAATTTAGATGAGTTTCCGTGGGGATGGGGTTTCAAACCAAAGTGGATTCCCCTCCTCTTTTGCGTGGGAAACCAACGTAAAGCAAATCAGTTTTTTGGTTCCTTACCTGGAGTCTCCATGACCCTTCAACAACATGGATTAATGACCCCCTAATTTTGGGTATGTAGTCTCATTTTACGGGTCAGAAGGAGACTCCAGATATTTTGAGAACCACCCATGTGCTTTCTATGCCCCAATCAACCAGAGGCATAGGGCCGCTTCGGCGCATGCCTCAGGCGCCTTGTACTATGCCTACCACCAGGCGGAGTCGAGCGGTTGGGTCTCGGGCCAATTGGGCCCATCGAAGTGATGGTTTGGAAGGTTTTGGAAACCTGGGGTTGAAAACAGTTGCCCCCCTCTTTTTTAAACCTGTACACGAGGGAAACACAGAAACACGTGCCACAGAAGGATAAGCTCCAGACCTCCATTCCCTGATCTTCTGGGTATCGATTTAGATGGATCCAATTGGTTGACTTTCCTCGTTTAGTGGCCAACAGGAAATTGGTCCCTTTCTTTTTGGGGGACAAGTCGACGCAAGTCGACAAGCGAACACCGGACTGTGGGGCTTCTTTTGCAACATCCTGAATTCAAATGCCATCCCTTCCCACACTAACATGGCACTCACCCTTCCCACAGCATGCAACTCACCAGAGGCTTCCCCAGTCAGGCCCCTTAGTCCCACACCTCCACCCCAATGGGCGTTGTTCCCAATTTCCGGCATCCCCCGAATGGAAACTGCACGTTTCCCGACATTTCGGAGGTTGCCCGGCTGGTTTGTTGGTTGGTTTGTTGCTTGGATTACAGGGAAATCTCCTTTTTCCTTTCTTTTCAAAGGGAGTTCCCCATTCGGAGAACCGGATCAACATTGTTTAAACGGTTTTAAGCCCATGTCCGAGACTTCCACCCAGCGCCCGGAAAAGCAACACATTCCAGCGCAAGCGAGTATGGACAAAGTCAAGGAAAACTGTGTGTGTGTGAGTCTGAGTGCTCTTTATGTGATTTTGAGGATGCTATTTTCAGGTTAGTTTAAAGGGACACTAAAAGGACAACCACCATGTGGGGTCCCCCTATGAACCAGTGACCCATGTGATGGTTGCAGTTTGATGCTCGGGGTCACTGGTTCAAAAGTGGAAATCGCTCCAAGACTTTTGAGGCAACAGATCCTACCCCTCCATGGCAGATGCGGAGTTTTTTTGCAGTAGGGGTCGACGCCATACCCTACCAAAACTCTGATCATTCGGAGGCTCGGGGATATACAAAAGACAGAACAAAAGCAAACAGAGGCGGATGCATCAATCTGGAATCTGATTCTGACCTACCAGGTTCAATCAATTGAGCCACCAATTAACCAAATTGACAGATTTGATTCAGATTCCAGATTTTAGATGAATCAACCTGGTGTTCCTTTGCTTCACCCACCAATTTACATGTTATTTTGTTCGCTGCGAGGGCAAGCCCCAGCTCCTTCTGGGCCTCAAAGACTCCTCGGGCCAAGCCTGTGGCGTGGACGCGGACGTCAAGTTGCAGCCCTACCTCTTCGTTTGCCCGGACCAGCTGACTTTCGGCCCGAAAGGTATGGACGCCAAGACGGTTTTTTTTTGCTTGGCTGCCATTTTGGGGTTGTCCCAAAACAGGGAACCCCCCCCCCCCCCCCGAAATTGGTGGTTTGCCTTTTGCTTGCCCTTTAGAACAAGCCAAAAAGGGTATCACAAAAAAAACAAAACATCGCTTCGAGCAATCCCCACCCTCCACACTCACAAGCTTACGACCGTGAACACGGTTGTGTGAATTCAAGCATGGTTTTCGAGTGGCTTCGGGCCTATGACTGCTCAACAAGCTTTGCATTGAGAGCCTTATCCTCCTGCCTGTGTGTCAAACTCCACTTGTCTGCGAGCCGATCTCGAGAACTCAAACATCGGTTTCGTTAACAAAAGCCAAGCCACTTCCAAAAAGAAGCCCGACGGGGGATTAAACGAAGTTGCTTATTCACAGCCCAAAGCAACACAAAAGTATCATCCTTTCCGAGCCTCAGGGCACACTCAAAACACGAAGGCGCCAACATGAAATGTAAACCCAATTGTGCGCCGTGCGGGACATTCAGCAAAACCAGACTGGCGAGCTGCTCTGGCGGGATACTGACGGGATCCACTGGCGAATTCTGGCAAGCCGCTCCAGCTTGATGCTGGACGGATACTCGGCAGGATACACCGGCACTGGCGGGATACTCGGCGGGATCCACTGTCTGGCGGGATACTCGGCGGGATCCACTGACTGGCGAGCTGCGCTGGCGGGATACTCGGCGGGATTGACTGGCAAGCAGCTCTGGCGGGATACTCGGCGGGATCCACTGGCCAGCTGCTCTGGCGGGATACTCGGCGGGATCCACTGGCAAGCCGCTCTGGCGGGATACTCGGCGGGATCCGCTGGCGAGCCGCCCTGGCGGGATACTCGACGGGATCGACTGGCGAGCCGCTCTGGCGGGATACTCGGCGGGATTCACTGCGAGCAGCTCTGGCGGAATACTGGGCGGCATCCACTGGCGAGCAGCTCTGGGGGGGGGGAACTCGGCGGGATCCACTGGCGAGCTGCTCTGGCAGGATACTCGGCGGGACCCCTGCCTGTCGCGTGGGAAAAAGCATGCCCGCTCGGTAGGATCTTTAGGAATGACTATGTTGGTGCCCCTTTCTCCCCAGCTTGGTTTCCCTTTTCAACCATTTTGGAGCCCTCCATGTTTGGCGCAGTTCCAAGTCATTGTGCGACCGGATACCTTCCTCGGCTGGAATGTGGATCTGACTTTGACTTCTGCCTACTGGTGACCTACTGTACTAGTACAGGGATCCATTGGGTGATTTTTGTATATTTTGGGGCTAGTTCAATATGAACCAGAAGCTGCGAATATTACTTTCTGTATGCCACAGATGTGGGCCAAAAGATGCGGCCAGCGGCGGACGCTGTCCAACTGATGCTCGCAATGCTTGCAGCTGCACGTGAATTCTGCGGTGGAACGAGCTTGTTAATGACAAGCAGTTGATGTCAAGTATGTATCGTCTACACGTTGCACGCGTTCCAACCCAAGAAAGACTCTTGCACACCAGCCTCTCACTTGCCCATTCAATAAGTATGTGATCACATGTGGCTGCTGCCCTACCATCTGCCGAGGAATGAGTTCTCCATCAACGCACAAAGAGTTTGCGTTGATGCCTGTCCTGCGAGCAACTCGAAGGCAACATGAGTCAGCCAAGCGAGATGTTTTCCACAAATGCAGACTGCCTCCTGAATGCAGGGCTCTGCATTTCCGCCAAGGTATCCCCTGTCCTCAAGTGAAATGTCGTTTGATCCGCCCAGTGAAAAAGTATGTGGGAAGTCCCCGCCCCAAACTTTGTGAAAGGTCGGATGGCCATCCATTGTATTTTCAGGGGCTGAAAGGGGTTTGAATGGATGTCAGGTGAGCCTTAAGCCTCTAGTCGAGACTTAGGGGCATTGATTGGGTTGATATTGGTATCAAAGCCAGAAACAGTTTTTCCCCCCGACTTTGCCATTGGTTGAGTATTTGCCTCCAGAGTTTGTTCAAGACCTTTGCGAGACGCGAGCCTCGAAAGACTCAGGTACTCTGGCCCCGAGCTATTGCAGCAAGGGGTATGCGTCCATGCCAACGGACAGCATGAGCCACAGCCGGACATAGCTGTTCTGTTTGCTCGGTTGTGTGTCTTTTTAGGTTTTCCCTTTTCAGCGCTGTTGTGCAATGGGGGGATGAAGAAACAAAGGAACCCGGTTCAAAATCAGCCTTCAGATTGTTCAACAGCTTCTGCTTTTCTGTTTTGTGTGTTCGTATACCCCCCATGCCTAAATTCCCCTGCTTTTTGTAAGGGGTATGTCACGCCTGGCAAAAAAAAAACAGGGTTTTAACCGGTAAAGCCAGTTGTTTCTCCAAATATACCACCGTGACCCTCAAATGACATAGACAATTTTTGGTGTTTTTGTATCTTTGGCGGTTCGTTTAAATACTTGGCGAGTCAGTCGTTTCTGGTTCAACGCTCCCAAACAACACACAATTACAGGTTTTCGGGATTTGCGGGCTATTGCTGGCTTTTGCTGGCGCTTTGCGGGTTGTTGCCGGCGTTTTACGGGCAACATAGGCGGCTTTGTATGGCAGGCTACATGCAGATGCTTCCGTTCAAGCACCCAAATTCCATTTGTTGAGCAAACCTTGCAATCCTAAGCTTTTTTGTCGTTCATTAAGAAAACACGTCAAACATGCAGTCAAAAGATACAACTACAATGCTTTGCTGTTTGAGGGTCCAGGCAGCTACGCGTAGCAAGCATTTGGAGCTTTCAAGGGTAGCTTACCGGTTCTGTGTGCTATTTCCCCATTTTTTTTATGGAATCCCTTGTTAATACTGTGGATGGACGAAATCCTGCACCACTTTGAAATCATGGGAAACCATTGTACGTTGGTATTTACAGGGGAATCCTCATTCCGGGTTTTCTTAATCGGTGCAGGATTTCGGCCATCCAGGTATATAACCCTCAACTGGTGGTTTGGATTGGCGGGAACTCGT